AACACACACGCACACACACACACTCACACACACACTCACGCAGGGGGAGTCACACACACTCACACACACACACTCACACACACACACTCTCACACACACACACACTCACACATACACACACACACACTCACACAGACAGACACGCGCACAGACACACACACTCACACACACTCACACACACACACACTCACACATAGACACACACACTCACACATACACACACACACACACTCACACACACTCACACACACACACTCACACACACACACTCACACACACTCACACACACACACACACACACACACGGCCTAGAGATTCCTGCCTGCCCACCCCACACCCTTTCTGACCACTCTCCCAGAAGCAGGGCTGGGAGCAGAGCCCTGAAGAATGGAAAGGATTTGAAAGCTCCTTTCACTCCAGCCCTGTTGGCCTCCACCTTGCCAAGTGCGTTCCAACCCCAGGGCCTTTGCACGGGCCATTCTTGCCACCAGGAACTTGGTGGCCCCCAGGGAGGTGGTGAAACATCACATCTATGATCGTCCCAACCGGAGTGGCCAACACGTGTAGGGCAGTCACCCTGTGCCACGTGCTGTTCTTGGCACGTCCCGCATTTGAACGCACGTATTCCCGTTTTCCACCGGCAGGTACCCCAGGGTCTCGGTAAAATGCTGCCCTCTCCATGCGGCTTTCTCTGAGCCTGTGAGTCAGATAGGTCCCCTTCCCCGAAGCTTCCTCACCCTGCCCTCCCTGCCCCTGCCTGACACACCTCACGCTGGGCTTAGTGATATTAACATTTTTTCTATTGTGATAAACTACACCGAAGATAAATTTTATCATTTTAACCCGATTACAATGTAAAATTCAGTGGCATTAAGTATATTCACAATGTTGTGCCACCATCACCACTCTCTAGTTCCAGAACATTCCATCACCCCAAAAGACACTTCATTCCCCCTTAACAGTCACTCCCCACCCCACCCCCAGTCCCTGGCAACCATGACCTCACTCTGTCCCTGTGGATCTGCCTGCTCTGGACATTTTACACAAATCCAGTCACTGCTTATGTGGCCTTTTGTGTCTGGCTTCTCGCACTGAGCGTCATGTTTTCAAGGTTCATCCACATGGTAGCGAGTGTCGGTGCTTCACCCTTTTTATGACTGAAAAATATCCTGTTGTCTGGATGGGCCACGGTTGTTTATCCATCCATCCATCAATGGGCACTGAGTTGCTCCCAGTTTGGGCGGTCATGCGTCGTGCTGCTGTGAACATCTGTGTGCAAACCAGCCCAGCCCAGAGAGCAGAGTCCTCTTCCTCTGACCTTAGGTGGGAGTGGTTCTGGGGACGCAGGATTTTCACTTGTGCCTGTGGACCCTCTATTCAGCCTGTGGTCTGAGCCTTTTTGCCAGGCTCTGGCTAGGGACAGGGCAGGGCCTGGGCAGAGAAATCCCTGCCTTTGTGAAGCCCCCAGTCTGGAGGGAGAGAGAGACTGAAGGACAGCATTGCCTGGGGTGATGATTGATAAAGAAAGCAAGCCTGCCCCTCCTGGGTAGTTTGGTCCACAGCTCTCAACCACCCGGACAGCAGGGTATATGGTCCCCATTTTCAAGATTAGGGAGCATAGAGGGGAAGGGATTTGCCCAAGATCACCACCGAGGGGGTGACTGAGCTGAGATTTGAACCGGGGTCCGGCCTCTGCTTGCAACCTGCTGCAGCTTGGGGAGCCCCGAATGAAGAGGAGGCTGGTTATGGGGCCCGCCCGGAGAAGGGGAAACTGGGTGCAGATATTAAGAAAAGCATGTCCCCTCCAGCTGTGTAAGGGCAGAGGGACTCTCCACCTGGCTGGAGTGGCCTAGTCGGTAGCCCCACCACTGCAGGCTGCAG